ACCGGTTTATAATGAAGTGAGTGATCAGAATTAATTTGGAAGGAGTTAAAAGCAGGTTCTGTAAAGTGGCACAGCCAATTTCTGGGAATTTCTGGAGTGAGATGGACTCTGGAGCAGAAGAAAGGGCCCATATTGCATGGGAGCACCTAGGCAAACTATTCCTGCCTTCACAACACAGTGCACCTTTTATTTTACACCCTGTCTGGATGAGTTCCTGGGACTGTACAGGCACAGCTGAGAGAGTAGGTGTAAGTTGGCATTGCTGCACACAGAGCCCAGAGATGAGCAAGACCTGAGGCTTAAGGCCCCAAATTGTCAACTGCTCTGGTGAGCAGCAAGCCAGATTGATCGTAGTTCCTTTGCACTGTGGTTCCTGTGAAGTGTAGAAGGGTTTCATACATCAGTGTGAGACCCTGAATATATTATTTAGATTATCACAGAGCATTTCTCAGAGGACATGAAACTGTGTTAAGATACCAGTTCCCATCCACTTTCCTTAGGAAACAAGACAACTACGTTCTGTAATTGCTGTGGTTTCTGGATCAGTTTCAAGACAAGCCCAGGCAATAGTATATTTTCTTGTTCCATTATGAATCAGAGCATTTTCTTATTTAGGGCAGCATGTGTTTAAGAGTTCACCAGCCTGAGAACATGGTCCCATGAAGTCCAGAGGTAAGCTTTTACCACAAGGTACTGAGAACAATTCAAGTCGTGCAGCCTCTGAGGAGTTTTAAGAGCCAGTCTTCCAAGTCTTCTGCACATCATGATTTTCAAATCCCTTCCATTGAATTTGCAGAACCTGAACTTTGTTGAAAACATCATTTTCCTGTAGTCTGCCTTTGAGGTGTTGTAACAGATCTGGTCAAACTGAGTAAATATGTCAAATTAATTCCCAGGTCATCTATGTCTCTGCTCTGATTGTAGACATTTATTTCTAGTTCTGCTGTCACAGAGGCAAAATAATCCTTACTCTCTTTTAGAATCAAAGCAGAGAAGAGGGACTAGGCACCCAAGTTTTGCTCAAATCAATGAAAAATGGACTCTGCATTCCTTTTTGTGCCTTTGAAAATCTTATTCACATGTATGATTTCTCAAAAGATGCAGGATTCTGTTCTGGCAACTGCTGAAGCTAACAGCCATGCTGCATAAAGAAAACAAATTTTAGTCCCCATGTCTTTACTACAGTTACTCAGCCTGGAAAGCTGACAGATACCAGGTTCAAATGCATGGTATTGCCTGCAGAATCTCATGGTGAATCCAAAACTAAGATTCAGAAATGCATTTGGTTGCTATGTGGAAATGCTGGCCATTCCTGGATTAATGATTGTGAATAAGCAAATGGTTAGGTAAGAAAAAAAACAAACAACAACAAAAAAAAAATCCAACTGAAGTTTGTGTTTCACGCTTCAAGTGACCCAGCCAAGTGTGGCTAGATTCCCTTTTAAAATCAAATGACCATGATGCATCTCCCAGGGTCCTGTAGTATGAATGCTAAAAGGATTAAAACTAGTCAGGTCACACAGCTTTAATTTACTCTTTACAAGGGCCATGTTAAATTCAAGACTTTATACCCCTTGTTTACATAGATATGGGTACATGGCAGGAAATTACATAATTTAACCTGTGCCATGTAGTAAAATACCTCTTTGTGTTCTGCTTTGGAGTCAAATACACAAGGAACTGTATTTTCTCCAGTTCTTTCCCACTGAAGTCTTTTTCATTAAAAAGTAATAACATACCAAAGAAGTTACAAAAGCAATACAAGGATAATATAAATATTTAAGTGGAAACAGCTTTGTAGTAACTGCTTGAGTAGAAACAGTTTATCCACACACCCTCCTTTCTGAACATTGCAATACTGTTTGAAGACAAAAGGAAATTAGGGGACTATGTTGATATTTGTTATTACACAATTCTCAAAGGTGTAACAAGGTACCCAATCTAGCCTGAAGGGAAATGGAATGAACAGGATAAATAATAAATGAGCATAAATAGTAAACAGCTCAGTAAGTTTTAAAAAATGAGTTAATGTTAGCGATTTGAAATTTTATTAGCAGATCTAAAATCTTTTCAAATGCATTTCAGATACTATATAGCCCTTTAAGACCATTTTCAGAAGAGATGGCAGAACTCTGAAGACAAAGAAAAGATGCCTGCAAAGTTCGATGCAAAGTTTACCACCAGTTAAGCCTGGCTCTTTTTGTTTAAAAAGAATGAACATTAAGCATTGGGATGAGGGATTATAGTCTGATCCAGATCATCATTTCCAAAAAGATCGTTTTGTACCTCTTGAATCTCCTGGCCCCCCCAGAAGCCTCTGACATCCTCCCCCAGTCTCAGCCCAGCCTACCCAGAGCTCAGGCAGGTGGGTCTGGTGCTGGTGCTGGACCCCTTCAAAACTCCACTTCATCATCCTGTTGATCACATCACTAGTGTGCTCTTAATGTCAAGGAAAAAGGCCATGTGCAATTAATTATTTTGAAACTAAATACATCTTGGTTCCATGGTGTAAAACCTACTGACACACAGTAGCCCCAAAGTCACGTTAGCGGCAGATGTTACAGTTGGAAAACAACTATATAAGCAGTTTAGCTCACTTTCCTGCTGTAGCAGGTATCTTTTTTCCAATCAATATATTTGCTAAGGCATTGCCCAAGTTAATTTTAAATATCTCAGTGAGGAATAATGGAAGCCTTTGGGCAGTTACTCCTCACTCCATCTGATGTATCAAATTAGAGAGGGCTAAAGTATTTATTGATTCTACCTTGTCATCTCTGTGCATGTTATGACTTAATTTTGTCTTCAACAATCTTGCACTGGGTTTTGTAATTTTCTGTGCAAGGAACATCCCTTTTTCTTTTTTTGCACTACACTAACAAATTACTATTTTGCATGACAGATCACAATGTTTAGTAGAAGAGGTTCCTTTTAGATCTCACTCATCTTGGCCTTTCATCTTTATTTTCGGCCTGCAGAAAAAAAAAAAAAAACAAAAAAACAAAAAACCCCAACACTTCCAGCAAAGTTAGTGATGCAAATTATTAAAGTGTCATCAACATGTAGTTCATAGTCTTTCTGCTTTTGCAGCTTATCCTAGTAATAGAAACAAATTACAGCTGATAGAATATAGTGTTATTCTTTCTCTATCTCTCTGAGTTGGGAAAAAGTGATTAATGTTCTCTTTTTCTTAGCAAAAGAAAAAAGTCTGTTTAGTGAAGCAAAAGTTATTAGAGTTAAAATTAACCAGAGGAAATACAATCCATACTTCAGCCAGGCCACTCACTGCCACAGACACAATATGAGTAGTTTTCCAAATGTATTAGCATGACAGGAAAACAAGGGCATTTCTCAGTTATTAGAAGGCCACTTGCTACACAAACTTGGCACAGAATCTATAAGGAGTATGGGTCTTAGAAACATTTAGGTTGGAAAAGACCTTTAAGATCATCGAGTCCAACCGTTAACCCAGCACTGCCAAGTCCACCACTAAACCATGTCCCTAAGCACCCTCTCTACATGCCTATTAAATACCTCCAGGGCTGGTGACTCAACCACTTTCCTGGGCAGCCTGTTCCAGTGTTGGACAACCCTTTTGGTGAAGAAATTTTTTCCTAAAATCCAACCTAGACCTTCCCTGGTACAACTCGAGGCCATTTGCTCTCGTCCTATCACTTGTTACTTGGGTGAAGAGATCGACACCCACCTCGCTACAACCTCCTTTCAGGTAGTTGTAGAGCGCGATAAGGTCTCTCTTCAGCCTCTTTTTCTCCAGGCTAAACAACCCCAGTTCCTTCAGCCGCTCCTCACAAGACTTGTGCTCTAGACCCTTCACTGGCTTCACTGCGCTTCTCTGGACACGCTGCAGCACCTCAGTGTCTTTCTTGTAGTGACGGGCCCAAACCCAAACGCAGTGTTTGAGGTGCAACCTCACCAGTGCCAAGTACAGGGGGACAACCACTTCCCTGGTCCTGCTGGCCACACTATTCCTGATAATACAAGCCAGGATGCTGTTGGCCGCCTTGGCCACCTGGGCACACTGCCGGCTCGTGTTGGTGGACATGCACTAAACTTCCAGAAGTCCACAGAGCTGTGTCGCCACGCAGCCCAGCTCTCTCGATAGCACCACGTGCACTGAGACCTCCAGCTCTCACATTTTGCTCCGGCATGCCTGCCGCCTCCCTCGCCCATGGGTTCCCTTCTGCTGCCCGGCCGTGCTCTGGGGCAGGCGGCTGGGGGGGCCACACACCGAGCCCTCCCGGTGACACTGGCCAAAGCACGTTGGTTAAAAGCCAACGTGGCAGCAAGCACGGCCAAGGGCAGGGAGAGCCCGTGCAGCCTCTCGGAGCCTCGCCAGCCCTGCCTGGCCCAGAGGTGGGCTCTCACTTGCATCACTAGGGCAGGAAAAGCATACTCTTAAAAAAAGCCAATAAACTTTTACAGTGTAAACACACAGCTGCAGAGAGGAAGGGGGAAAACAAAGCATTTTAACTAGGCAGATAAATGGGCTTTTATTAGAAAATTAATTGGTGCTCCCTATTTCTCAGTAATGGGGACGTTTCTTAATGAAGTGGACTGTGATGTAAAGCAAGCAATTTAGGGCCGTATGCTTATTTATCTGATTCAACAGCATTTGCCAAATGTCAGCATTTTTGCTAGCAGCCTTTTCTGTATCCATCAGAGTGGTAACAAATCCTGTTTCCCCAGCTACAAACAAGGCACAGACTAGGACGGTGGGGATAAGACTGCTGAGGGGACAGAAAAAGCTGTATTTAAACAGTTGTGTTTGCTTTTGTGTAAAAAAAAAAAAAAAATATCTTGGAGATCCCTTTTCTGCCAGAACACTGGCACTTTGCAAATGCTGCCAACACGAGCCCTGTGAGCAAGCCAGCTGACATCAGCTGACCAAGGACATGGTGGGACTTCAGACATTTTATCCATTCCTCTTCAAACAGGCAGCCTTTTGTCTGGACTGTTTGACCAAAGCAAGCCTGTGAGTAAAAGCAGAAGCCTGCCCATGGAAGGCGTGCTTAAATTGATGCAATCTAAGATACACAGCACCAGAAGTGACATGAACCGAGCTGAAGATCAAACCAGGTTTGCAATATCTCTCTCAAATAAAATGTTGGGTTATTTTTACTGTACTGGATACATTATGGGATAAATGCATAAGGGAGCATTATCACCACTGCTGCCTGGGGCTTCACCACCAGCATTTGTGAGAGGAACCCGACAGGACATGTGATCTGTAAAATATTTCCATTGAAAATGGCCAGTTCAGTCTGGCCTAGACTGGTGATGAGGAAAAGCAGGCTCTTGTCCTTGCCTAGATTAAATGAATTGGATCATTTCTGTATTGCTCAAGCAGATGATTATTTGCACCACAATGCTTGCTGCTGAAACTGGCTCATTATCTGGCAGGCAGAGTAAACATTAGGGACTGAGGCTGTGGTTGTAGTGTCTTTGGTATGAGGTCTGTGCGCTATCAGGTCAGAATAAACATGGTTCGGTTCAGATGTGGGACACAAAGTTCTGTTTCCCAGAGCCACATCAGCCAGACTTCACAAAATTGATGTAAAGTCCATTTTATGATTTTATGCCCATTGGGGGGAATGCATGGAGATGCATATGTAAGGACAGGTAAATCAGGTGCTACCTGATAAAACACAAAATCTTTTGGCAGAAAAATTAGCATGGCCAAATTCTTGGGACAAATCAGAACCAGCAGAAAGGATTTAGTGCAGATCAACACTCTGCACTGAGTGTCTCTGATATTTTCAGCCTGGCCCTGGGAGCCAGATAAAAGCTGGATGTCTTGTGTTGTCAGGCCATACCTTACAAAACTTTTCCATACCAGACTCTTGCAAAGCAGGCTGAGGCTGTGGGGAGCACACATGCAAACTCCAGTGAGCCATACCTGCCCCACAGAAGTCCTGCGTGCTGTGATTCTGGCTCTGTACACTGAGCAAGCTATTCATGCCCTAATGAAAGGGTAGCTGTCTGTAGAGGCGGAGAAGGACAGAAAGCCACCACCCTGGCAGAATAGTCTCCCAGTATCTTTGAGTGGGCATATGCCATTTTCAAGGAACAAATATAGTACATATCTGAGCATTTCTAGACCAGGCTGGTGGCTGGTTGTGTTTGGAGCTAAAGTGGCAAAGAAATGTGGTGATAACCCTGTGGCCTGCTCAGTTGCTCTTTGTGCCAGAAGAATTTCTCAAATTTCTCAAAGGTCTTGCCTCTGTAGAATAACAGAGTCTTATTGAGGAATTACCACTGGCCATTTCTCATCATCCCTGGAGCCACACAGGGTAAGGCATACATTGCCCTTCTCTCCTTGCATAAAGGCAACATCAGTATACAGGGCTGCTTCTCTGACAGGGTGGGGGGACGGGTAGTGCACTGTGTTGCAGCCCCAGCCATGCTCGCAGGCTGAGCCACGAGCCCGGCGAATGCTGTCTCTTGCTCTCAGTGACACCTCACTCTCGTCCTGTGCTGAAGGTGCTGCACAGCTCGAGAGATGGGAAACAGAAATGCTTATTGCCTCAGTCACTATTTATAAATTAGGCACAAACCCAGACTGAGTGAAATCGGGCTGCTGCCTGCTGGCAGAGGGGCGGCTTTCCAGCGGTGGGCTTGGTGAGCTCCACGCTCGCTGTCTGGAGTTGTTTGACACAGGGCTGGTCCCTGCAGAGGAACTGGGGTCCCGCCACCAGCACAGACTGTGCCAATCAAGAAGGAAGCCCAAGATGCCAGTGAAATCCCACTTAAAGGTGTATAACCTGGGTTTAAAATGCTGGTGGGAATGTTAAGTTTGGAGCTTTGACTGGTGGCTGTTGAGGTGTGTTGGTGAGGCAGCATGAGAAGGGCAAGCCTGCATGCATAGTTTACTTCCAATTTTGAAACCTCTAAGCCAGCACTTCACATGACCAGTCTGTTCTGCAGTGTTTTGTTAGCTGTGTACAACGCAGTGTGCTTAAGACTGAAAAAGAATATGAAACAGAACCTCTACTTGAATTATTTTTTAACTTGGCATGTTTATACCTGAATCTTAACCAGTACTATTTTTGCTTCCACACTCCTAGCATCAAAAGACCCTGACTTGGGGTTTGGGGCAAAACAGACCGAAATCTACATAGAAATGTGCTCCCATTTCTGTACAATAAGCCTGTTGCACAAATCAGGGCATTTCTTGGAGCACATGAAAATTATGGCATTTCACATCACTCAAGCAAAGGCTGTTCTAATACAGGCCCAATCATAATACAAAATAATTATGTCAATGGAAATTGAAATCTTGAAAAATTAAATGTTCAGATCCTCACCAACATACTGCAAATACATTTGAAACATTCATGTTTCCCAGGATAATAGCTACATAATTAAGCTAAGCCTTTCACACTTTCTCTTTGAACCCATTGGATTTATTTACCAAAAATCATTGCATAGATATGCCCAGAAAAAGTCTTAGAGAACCATTTGTAACTAAATTTAAAGCTTAAATACAGAGATTCTCTCCTCACCAAGTACTGGCTTTTATTAAAACTGCAAGTTGCTCATATTTCATCCCTTGCAGACTCTTTAAATCCTCTGTTTGACATTTTGAATGTGCCATGCACATTCTAATACACATTACACAAAAAGGGCTATTATAAAATTCCTGACTTTTTCTTGTTTGCATGACAAAGGGGGAATGGCAAATCCTCCAATTGGACCAGATAATCACTCTCCTGTGAAAAGCCTACAATCCACATCCTCTGTTTTCTTCTTAGCTGAGCTTCAACTGTGTTTGGCCAATAATTTTATTTTAAGTGTGAAGCCCATAAATCACACTCCAATACACACTGGACAGTGAAGAGTCCTGGCAGATTAGACATCAGCCACAGGAGAAATCACATCCGGATCCAGGAAAGCCGGGTGCTGCTGGAGCAATCAGGCGTTTTCGTTTCATGTCATCATGGTTTTTTGAAGAGCCCTCACTACACAGTAGGACCCCAGTCTCTGGAGCAAGGACTAATTGGACGGATAAAGGTTTAGAGGAGCAGGTCTTCTGACACAAGAGAGAGACCATTACAAATCCATGAGCTGCAGTTTTATCCAGGTGACTGTCACTACATAAACATAACAAATTCACTGCTGGAACTGAGTTAGCCAACACTTACAGAGCACATATGAAGGAAACTTTGTCAGCCACCTGAACGCTGCTTAGATGCAGTTTGCGACCCAAGCTGCCGAAGCGATTCATCGTGTGACTGCCTTTGTCCCACCCCATGAGAACCAGCAATGTGCCGTTTAGCTGGGGGGGTGGTCCGGAGGGATCAGCCAGGCGTACGAAGCCTTCCGAAGGGGCTGAGAGGCTCACAAGGATTTCAGGAAATAAACCCTTCCCTCCTCTTACTGGCAAGAGCAGGAGTTTTTGACATGAGTTGAAGTTGAGGTAGTCAAATGAAGTGGATATTTTGCACTGTTATTTGTGTCTTGGGAATGAATACAAGAGAAAATATTGATTTGTTCAGAGAAAGATGCTACACAAAGGGAAAGATTAAAGAATGTACTGCCTTTGGCCATGCATAAACTGTTAGTTTGTAGGCTGTGTTTCCATTTTAGCCTTAAAACTCAATTCAGCTAAATAAAGTATCCCTTTAACATCTAATGGAGACATCTAAACATCTATCATGTTTAAGGAGGCAAGTTCCTTAAAAGGTTATAAAGACAAAATGAGTAGTAATAGAAGTATTTAGTTAGGCTTTCAGATGGCTTTGTTGCCTTCCTCTGCATACAAAACAGGCTGCCTCAGCTGACACTTGTTTTAATGAGGGATGAACCACAACGATGTGCTTTTGTACAAATTCATTACATTGGGTCCTCCAGCCTCTCAGGGCACACCATTCATCCTGGACATCGGATGAAACTGGACCAATATTGAATCATTTACAGAGACATATAAAATCCAAAGAATTTCTGATGCTGAAGACATTTGGATGTATGCTCAGGCATGTTATTGCTGGAGAGGATGAGAATCTGCCCAGAGAGCCATGATCCTTCACACTTTTATCAATCACATTTTATTTTTTATCAATTCACTTCTCCCTGGGACTGGTTTTAAAAATAGCCTTCCACATCTTATGCCAGCAAAGGCCAGAGAAGCAAAGGATGTGAGCCTCAAGTTTAAAGGTTGACTTCAAGGCAAAGATCCAACCTCTGCCCTTAGCCTCCAGGTCAGCTTCTCTCTCCAGAGATAGCTCTCTATTGTGGTTTTTAATAGTGTTTAAAGTACTAATATTCTTCATCCATGTTGTGGAAAAGCAGTGGATTCTCATGTTCGCTGAAAGGTGCTCTACCTTTATGTAAAGCTACCTTCTTTTAAGCACAAGTATTATGAAACCCACTGGAACCCAAAAAGAGTAATGGAACATTTTTCTAAAATGTCAGGCCTGTACATCTTCCAACTTCTGTGATTCAGAAGCAGCATAAAAGGCCATAAACCATTCAACTTCTGTGATTCACTGCCCTGATTCATACACTTGATACAAATATTCAGAGATCAAAGTGGTACCTACCCCCCCAAAAAGATTTAACATTTTTTTTTATTGTTTGCCATAAAGGTGGACTTGTAGCTAAAGCATTATTCTCCTGACTGATATTGGCTATTTTAGGTAGCAAGTCCCCTGCAGTAAAGATTGACACTTTCTTTAAGAATCATATGGTGTAGTACATAAAGCAACGTACTCTGCAGAGGTGTTTCCTCCCTGACCTAGGCTGAATATGAGACACTTTTCACTCAGCGGTTTTCTGGGCAAAAGTTTCCAGGGAATTAAAAAAGGATGGAAACTTCTTCCCCTTGAAGAAATCTGGAAGCTCCCCTAAAACTTCTTGTATTAACTTTACAGTAGATTAAGGTGTTAAACTGGCATGTGTGTACCAACGGGGGAGTGATCCTTTTAAGTCCTCTGCTTCATCCCCACTTGTGGAATTTGTTGTGCCAGTGGGACGAGGCTGGCTATAAAACCCCGGTGCAGGGGACCTCCATCCCGCTCAGGCAGCCTGCCACCGCATCTCTGCTGAGAGCAGCCCCGGGGAGATCCCCCCTTCATCTCCTCAGCCCCGGGGAGATCCCCCCTTCATCTCAGCCCCGGGGAGATCCCCACTTCATCTCTGCCAGGCGGGCGGCCGTGTCGCCGAGGAGGATGGAGGCGAGGTTCGCCCGGATGCTCTGCGTGCTCTGCCTGGTTGTGACGGTCCGAGCGTTTACCCAGGAAGGGTTCAAGGAGGTGTTGCTGAAGCAGCTGGGGCTCTCTGAGGTCCCTAAACTTCATAAGAGGGACTTGGTGGATCTGGTTATCCCAGACCACGTAAAGAACAAATACATCTCCATGCTGAAGCGCCAGAGGGTGAAGCGCCGAGCTTTGCCGAGCCTGGCTGGCATCCTCAGGGGGATCCCTGGCAACGCAGGTAACGTTTCTGCCGTCGCTGTCGGGAACTCACAAAGCACTGTGCTGCTGCCAGGGGAAGCTGCCCACGCTTGCCCGGCCGGCCGCAGGGTGGGCAGAGGCAAACCCACGGCGGGAATGAGGTTTGGGTCTGGCTCCAAGCCTGAGCTGGGTAGAAGAGGTGCATGTAACAGCATCTTAAAGATTAACATGCTTTAGCAACTCCTTGCATCTGGAGATGGGGTCCCACAGTCCTTGCAAAGAGCAGGCTGCTGCTGGAGCTTTATAGAAAAGCCTTGGTACCCATGCAACACATTTTGGGCAGGTGGAAAAAAAAAAAAAAAAAGCCAGTAGATAGCGCAGACCTCTCAGGTTTTGGGTCAAAACTCCAGAAAGTCCTCTAATAGGAATCACACCTCTTTGAGGATGTTTCACTCTCCCCTGTCCTTTTTTTTTTTTGTCTGGGAAAAATATCAAGGAGGAAATCAGCTGTACAGACACAATGGTGTCTGTAAAGGACACTTAGAGCTTGTTTCACTTTCAAAAGACATACATAGCACCCTGGGCAGCAAATGAAAACACTTTTTCATTGCAAGTGGTGCAGTTTCCTGCTTTCAAGTCCAGCACTGGCCGGCACAAAAAGATGAGCACCTTTCAGGGTTTGCTCAATTTGGGGTCAAATTATATGGGAGATTTCTTTCCTCCTGGTTTGCAGAGACTCAGACATAGAGAAGAATTAGGGCATTTGCAAGACATTGATTCAAGTATGCATTAGAAAAGGTGTGTTTAGTGTCTGTCTCTGCCACAAGGGCACGTGTGGGAGCATGGAAGGAGTGTGTTGTGATGATAATTGTGGATGAAGTGTGGGGGCTTTGCTAACCAGGATGGCAATGACAGGCTGTATTTTTTGTTCCCGACATGCACAGGCATGGCGGGAGAAGTTCTCTACTCTGACACCACCACGCGCCAGAACCTGATCTTTGACATGGAGGGCAGAATACCTAAAAACAGTGAAGTGACAATGGCTGAACTGAAACTCTTCAAAAAGCCTCTGGACAGAACAAACCTGCCTGCCAAACAGTCTCACAGGCCCGTCTCCAACGCCAGAGTCAGCGTGTACTGGGTGCAACGGCAGCACGATGGTACCAACAGGACCTCCCTGATCGACTCCAGGTGAGAAAGGGACCTCTCCCAAAGGCAGGACTCTACTTATGGGGTATGGGTCCTCTGGGCTGGGTGCAGGTGTTCTGTGTTTGTGCCTCCTGTCAGGCTGATGGGGTTACATCTGTAGAATCAGGCTCTATAGCCTCTAAACCCAGAAGGAGTTCATAAGAGCAGATACTAGGTTAAGACTGCAATGTATGATGGTTCTTTGAAATAACCTATTTGTGTGTCAAATAATGCTGTGTACTGCTAGGTCTTCCCCTCTAAAATCCTTCACCTGGTTCACTTCTCTCTCACTCTCTAACTCCCATGGGTTACTGGCTGCTGGCATTCTTTCCACTGGCCGTTTCATTAGCTGGTTTAAATAAGTAAATTATGCAAAAGCATTTGATTCTGTAGCCATGTGCTCTGTGGAAGTTTTACGACCCTTGAAGGCAGAATTAGACATCAAACCAATCTTCTGGGTGGGTAGAAACTTACAGCCCTAATGCAGCTAGGACAGGAGCAGGTGGGAGTGATGGTGTTTAGCAGGCAGTCATCACTAATACTGAGGCTGCATATAACCCTGCACTGCCGTATTTCTGTATGAGCATGAATGAATACCTTGACATGAGCACGCACAAAAGGTTTTATTTAGCCCTTTAGGGTCTGTTAGATCTTCATGTTTCTTTTTGAGGTGTGAGTTATTTGCCATGGGTACTCGCCCAGAGCGCTCAGCAAAAATTATTGTGTAATCAAGGCACATGACAATCTACAGGAAGCAAATTATTCTGCTGCAATAACAGCACTGCGAGCCTGGGCTATAGCTGATGAGCTTTTCTCTAATGCCAAACCCTTGTCATGCAGGCTGGTTCCTATACGTGAGTCGGGCTGGAAGAACTTTGATGTGACACAGGCTGTGCATTACTGGCTGCAAAACAAGAGGCGGGAGCCAATGTTCCTGGAGGTCTGGATTGAAGGAGAAAGGGTAGGCAGCCATGCCTCAGAAATGGCCAAAGCCGTGCGTTTCACCTCTCAGGACCCCAAGGACAAAGCCCTAGGCAAACCTGAACTGGTGCTTTACACCCTCGACTTGGAAGATTATGGGTATGTATGAAACCTAAATCTGTACTGTCTCCGGTGTAACTTTGCCCCTGAATTATTGTACTGTGTGTGCCAAGCCTGGGTGTGCAGCTCTTGCCCTCGCAAGCAAACCGCTGTGAATGGAGGAGTTAGAAAGCTGCTGCTGAATCACACCTCTCCTCTTCCCATTTTTGTTGCCTGAATATTCAAACGAAACCCAGACACAACCCAAGTTTCATGTCTCAGGGCCCTCCGGTGCCATTAACGGGGGGATCATTTATCCCACCTTCACAGTTTCCATTTACAGCATCAGTTCTTGTTTCTCCCTTGGCACGCAGGGGCCCCGGGGACTGCGGGGAGCAGGCGGTGACGGGGAAGTCCACCTGCTGCCGGCAGAAACACTACATCAACTTCCGCGAGCTCGCCTGGACGCAGTACTGGATCATCGAGCCCGCAGGGTACCAGGCTTACCGGTGCTTGGGGGGCTGCCTGCAGCCCCCCAGCCCGCTGCGGCGTTTCGGCTATGGGGAGCGTGCCTGCGCCGTGGCGGAGAGCTCCCCGCTCCCCGTGATGTACCTCGTCAAGAGGGGCAACCGCACCGAGATCGAGGCGGCCGAGTTTCCCAACATGATCGTCGAGAAGTGCAGCTGCGTCGCGGACGGCATGGCGCTGGTGTGAGACACAGGCGGCCGGACGGGGATGTCACCCAGCCCCCTGATTCCCCACAGCCCTGCCCAGAGCCACCCCGGGGCCAGCGATAAATCTCCTGGGGGGACCCCCAGATACCCACCTGCAAGGGTGAGCAGCAGCTGGGGTGACAGCGCTCCCACGCACTCCGCTACCCTGCGGGGAGGGTGCACTTAAAGGCACTGTCCATATAGGTGGGCTCAGAGGGGCATCCACCTTCATATCCATTGGCATGAGGGGTACCTATGGAGCCTAACGCTTCTTGGGGGCCCCCTTGCTGCTAACCAGATTTCATTAAATGTAAGCAAGCTGCAGCGAATTTAATTCAGCCCCCACCCCAGATTATTGAGAACAGCTACAGGCAAAGGAGTGATCACCACCAGGTGAGGAAGTAATGCCTGGGTTCAGCTTTTCATTCTTAGACCCCTGGTTTTGGTCCTTGTCCAAGTCATGTTTATGGTGAATTGGAGAGCAGAAGCACTTACATGTATATATTGTATACACACACACACACATACACACATGTACATATATATATAGTATATGAATATATGTATGTGTTGCCTACATACATATTGCATATATACATATTGTCTACATAGATACATATATGTACATAAATATTATCTAGAGCTCAAAGGACCATATATATGTGTGTATGTATCATATGCATATATACACATACATAAAATATTATCTGCAACTCAAAGGGTTGTATTTTTGGCTCCTGCACCATGGGCTTAGCACAGTTTCAGGAAGAATTTAGAGTCCTGAAGTCAATGGGAATATTAGGACTTAGGTTCGCTTGTATGAGTAACAGTTTGTAGGATCAGACCCTTATTTTTCTGGTTGTGTATTACTGTTACTTCAATTTAGGGATATTTTTCAAGTTTTAAGTGCTTTCAAACTCAAGGAAATAATAAAATACAGTTATTAAAGTAGTAGCCATGTGTTTGCTTATATTTATTCTTAGGTCTAAAAGTGGAGGAGAAAAATCTGTCATATTTCTGAATGTATCCCAGAGCCCAGCTCCTGTAAACACACACAGAGTAACAGCTCATCTCGCTTACCTGTGTGATCCTGCCTGCTTCTGGCAAAGCTTATCTGCTCAGGCAGGGCCTGGGACTGGACTGAATGGGCAAGTGGAGCAGAGCCCATACCACCAGCTTCTCCCCGAGCTGCTGTGGAGTTTAAGACAACACTTTTCCTAAAGAGAAAACCTACAAACATATTTGACAGGCAAGAGGTGATGATCTCCATGTGTGCTGCAGCAATGCTGTGCCAGAACCTGCAGGCAACCAACTGGAGCTGGAGGGATGAGCTGCCTCCCACCTCCTCCCTTTCCAGGTGAAGCCTTTTAACCGTGACTCTTCCTTATGGACATCTCACCAACACATCCCCTGGAGAAAAGCAATGATAATGTGGTTTAATCCCTTTTGGAACCCTATTGAGCTGTCAGCCAGGGTGTCACCAATGATAATGATCTCCACACTTCATGTCAGACTCCTCTCCTTTGTTCATAACCTAATAAGATACGGGTGGATCTGGGGATGAAGTGGTTGCTGCCATCCATCTCTGTGGGATGTGGTCTCTGAGGCCCTGGCTGAACCCACTGCTGGTGGGAGAACTCTGAAATGAATTTGTCTGGCTAGACAAGGTGGCCATGGGCCATGGACCAGGTGAAAAGAGGGACCCATTGGACTCTGTAGTGGCTTTGGGTCATTCATCAGGAAGGCTGAGATGTCAAGTGTCCCTGCTGCCCTGTGGGACCCCAGGTCCGAGGTCACCCAGGCATCCCTGCCATCCCTTGGCCCGTGGGTAGGCTGGCTGGCACCTTTCACTTGTGTAAATGCCTGTGACAAAACAGGAGCTTTAAAGGGAGAGAAAAAAAAAAAACAGATGCAGAGACTCACCTGTCACCAGTGCTGGGCTACAGCACCATGGGTTACTGGAATCAGAATTGGATGAGCCGGATCAATCTCTGGCCATTTCCTTCTCATGACTATGTAGCATCTATCATCTTGATGGCTTTGGCATTCAGCCTCAGTTCACTCCACCCTGCTTGGGGCAGGGCATAGCCTGAAGCCCATGAGCTCAGCTATCAAGGTGAAGAACAAAGCTGAGGATTTATCCACACACTCCTGGGGAAGAAAGTGTTTGAACTGGTTCCTGCCTGAGAATGAGCATTAACCCTGGCTTCTCTCCAGCCTCCAGCACTTGGGCTCCAGACGTCATCCCCCAGGCCGGGGAGAGATCCCTCCCAGTGCAGTGGAGTGGAGGCCAGGCTGCGGCGGGAAGCGGAGCATCGCAGCAGGGATGAGGGGCCGGGACCCCCAGGGTGGACAGGGGCTGAGACAATGACAGTTGGCTTCTGCTCCCCTCCACTGGGATCCTGCGCCGTGTCTGGCTCCCTTTGCTCTGGTGTCCTGTGGACACAAGGTACATAAAAGCGAGCGGTGGGTCTGTGTGGATGTGTGTGACAGCTGGGGGAGGCGGTGGCCCAGGAGAACCCGTGCTACTGTGGGGAGAACTGCGGGCATTGCAGAGACAAGGCACAAATATGTGGGCAACCAAGCCCTGCCACCAGCGTGGATATTTATTTATTGCTAGGGGAGCTGCACAGATGTCACAGCGTCTCCCTCAGTCCCACCACGCCACTGCGTTCACAGCCCCCGAGCCCGGCATGTGGTCCCGTCCAGGGCCGAGCGGCCGGGGGTAAGCACAACGCGGAGGCCTGGGGAAGAGCTGATTTATAGAAAGCTATAAGCATAGGGATCCCGTGTGGCTGTGCACCAGGCTGGACAGCAGTAGCACCCATGTCTGGCATCTCACATCCCCATCTCTCTGTGCCCACAGTCTGTACCCCTGTCCCTTCCCAGCAGCCGCACGCGGGGCCTCCTGGGGAACCCCCGGTATTGCCCAGAGCCTCCCTACCCTGACTGTGCACAGCATCGCTGTCATCTGTTAAAGTGAAAAATTCAGCTTCTGAATTCAAAATTAACCAGTTGTGCTACTGTCTCAGTATGATGGATGCTGTGGCTAGTTTTTAACCTACATTTGGTTTGAAACTCCGCGCTTTGCGGGGGACAAGACGCTGCTCCTTAGACTCCAGCTGGCGTTGCAGTGAAAATGCAGCAGGCCTAGAGGTCAGGCTGCTGGGGTGAAGGCTCCAGAGATCTCTGCAGTGCAAACTCCTAGGCAGAAGGCTGTGGATGAAATACTGCCACGCCTGAGGCTTTTTCAGATATCAGCCCGTGCTGTGGGAAATTATCTCCCAGCCTGTCATCTTCAACCCAGGCTGCATTTGCTGTGATACCTTCTGTGTGCTACCTCGCTGCTTTTATATCAGTACAACTTGTAACGCATGCAAAGGCTGTCAAGCTGTCATGTTATCCTTTCCGTCTGAGTGGCACCACAGTCTCTGAGGAAAGGCAGAACATCTTACATACCTGGCAGCAGCGTGGTTCAGCATTAACATTTATACTGTGCTGTAAAAAAAAAAAAAAAAAAAGAGTAGTGCAGCAGCATAATGAGCCACATATAAGCAGAAGTGATTTCAAAAAATGGAAAGGTGTTTTAAGGCAAAGCCAGAGTTAAAACATCAAACATCCTCCTGCACTACTGAAAGTGCAGAGCACTCGCCTGGTGCTCAAGGAGATGTGTGCTGTTCACATTAAGGGCTTTGACAGCCCTGTAAGTCCCACGCTTAAAGTTATGCTCTTGTGTAAGCCTTCGCAGTGGCAGTGTGCCTGAGTTAAGGCTTATTGTGAGTGTGAGCTCTGACCTGACTTCGTGGCACTGCTCACAAGATGATCTGTGAGGTCCTGCAATATTTAATGGAACTGGACATGGGGAAATCTATTGGTCTCACCAAAGTGTTTTGTATGATAGAGGCTTGGATAGGACAGAAGCACTTTCTGTCTCCGTTATCATTACATTTTAGGAGAGATAACAAAAGTTTTATGCCATATTAAATGTCACTGGTAGCTGAGTTACATTGCCCTGTCTGATCCTTCCACAATTTCATTTGAACGGATGCTGCTTTCCTGTTTTCTTTCAAAATCTATGAGAATTTGCAGTTTTATCCTGCCAGTGAGACCTTATTTCCTCTCCCCCTCTTTTTTTTTTTTTTTTTTTTCCCCTTTGCATTTCACAAACTCCTACCAAGAGCGTCTGACACTTTGCCTTTCATGGCAGCCTTCTAATTGCCAGTGTAAGTGGAAAGTCAGATGCCCAATCCACATCCCAGCAAAGGTGATAATCAGGGGAGCTCCTGGCTTTGGCTGGGAACAGCTGGAGTCTGGGAAAGGGGAATCCAGGGCAAACAAAAGGGGGGAGGCAGAAATCCTGCAGGACTTTGATATTTTCAGAGGAGCCTCTTAACAGTCTCAACATCTCCTAGTTTTTGCCATTAATTTAATGTGGAATTAGCTCCTGTGCAAAGAGCTGGATTTGCAGCCAGGGCCTAAACTTCTCAGTCCATTCATGGAGCAGGTGCTGGAGAGCAGCCTGCACGACATCAGTGCATTTCAGAATAAAACAGAATAAAAAGCTAACCACAAGTGCTGCCTTCTGGCCTACGCTCCAGGGGTACAAGGGCTGTGTGAGTGCTGGGGTTTCCTACAGCTAGACCAGCAGGTACAGAGCAGCCAAGAAACAGGTTTTAACTATGGCAGGAAATAGTTATTTTCAGGTATTGGGCACTGGAAAGTCATGTCGTCAGTCCACAGCTCTCAGTATCCTTTTGACAATTGCTGAATCAGGGTTTTTTATTCTTTCTTTCCAAAGCTATGTAGTAATTTTTATTTAAAGGTATTCCTAAGGTGTATTTGCATTTTGCTGTTTACATTTTTCCTTCTTCTAACTTTCTCAGTGATTATAAATGTTCCCTTTTGAAACCCCAAGTAGCTGTATTCCCCAGAACAGCGTGTTTTCTGTTGCTGAAAATGAATGCAGTCGTATTGCAGCTGCTACTTCTAAGGTGACTGCCAGCTTCCAGCCCAGCGGTCAATAACTCTGTCACCCTTAGGAGGTCTCAGCTAGTTACTCTATGCTCGATACAATATCACACAGGCCATAAGGTACCATCTATAACCACCAGACACCGTGTTTTCATTGAGATGTGCAAATATTCCCAGCAGATGTTTCACAAGCCGGCCGGCTCCTTATAAACCCTGCTCTTCTCTCCATACAGCCCAGGTAGGCCTTTCAGGAGCTTCTTGTTCCTTTTTGCGCTCCAAGTTTTGTGCAAATTCCTGGTTCCTTGTGCCTGGTTAGAGACACGAGGCGAACGCAGCAGGGAGAAGCAGGACACGAAGCACATGCCTTCAGGCCACTGGATGCTTCCCAGGCAGGCACAACTGCTGGATCTAAATCAGGACTAACCATCCCGGATTAGCCAGGCCCTTCCCAGGCTCTAGCTGTGCTGGAAGGCAGCCGTGCCTGCCCAGCCCCTCCTCGGCAGCTGGAGGTCAGAGCAGTTGTCACCTCGGCACCTTCAGGTGCCATTAGGTATGTTAATCTGCAAAGCCATCCTAATTACTGAGCTGTAACTGAAAGCAAAGCCGGCTATGAGGTGGCCGTGTTAACTAACCGAGGCGCAGTCTTTAACATCTCCTGTTAAGTGCTTTGGAGGAACCTCTAAGATTTAAAAATAGCACATTCCTGAGAATGGGCATTGCTACAAACCAACCTTTAAAGTGTCAACATTCTCCGGGGAACAAAATCTCAGATAAGAATTAATTTCAGGTGGATCAAAATTATTAATTTTGGCTGTTTATGGAATAGGCAGAATGATGCAAACAGGACCTAATATCCGTGCTCTGCAGCAGCAGCACCATGGGACAGAGCCAGGGCCTCCGGTTGGATATTTTGTTAGAAGGGCTGAGGGTTTCATCAGCGCTGTGGAAACTGGACACGTCCTCTGCCGTTAGTCCAGTGCCACCTACAGTAGCAAGCGCAGAAGCTGTCAGACTCGGAGAGCCAAAGGAAAAAATTCCTGCACACTCCACCAAAGTGCTGTTTAGGTCAAAACACTGAAGTGTTTTTTTTAGTAACTCATTTATTTGTCCACGTTGCAGAGGACTGCGTAGGTGAGGAAAATGGGGAAGGAGCCTTCTGGTTAAAGGCTGGGAGCTGTTCCTGTGTCTGCTGGTGATGATCTTTCTAAACTTCCACAAGTTATGACCTGCCTTGTTCCCTGCTATTTTTTGTATATCATATGTACTTATTTCTTTCCAGGGTATAGATGGATCTGTATGAGGTGAGGAAAAGCCCTCCCTCAGGTTTGTGCCAGTGTTTTCGTTAATTAGTTTTTTCTCTGAAATGCAAGAGAAACATGAGGCAGTGCTCTAGATCTTCTAGATGTTCGAAATAAATGCGTTTAAAATAACACTTCAGAAGAATTCTGTAAGTCACACCACTTGCTTGTTGGGGAAGTGTTTGTGTGGGAGAATGATCCTTTTCTCTGGAAAGATGTTCACAGTTTTGGTGCATTTACAACCAGAAACACTTTTGAAATCCAAAGCTGCATTAATCCTTGGAAAAAGAAAGATATAGGCAGAATACTGCAAACTCTGCATTATTCTCTGGCCTTAGACTGGAAGGGCGACTTCTATTCAGAGGCCTTTCTGTCTTGTAGAAATGGCCCATGCTACATTGGAATAGTTTCAGTTTATAATCTTCATTTTTAACTGATATTTGTTGACACCTTTCTTTTCTGGCTCAAATTCTTAAGAAAGCTTCGAGCACGTCACCTGCTTGCTTCTGTTCTCTTGAAGGATCAGTCCGAGTCCTGTTTGCTACCCAGCTATTTTCTGAAGGAGGCCGTATGGGCTCGTGAAAGTCTGGCCTTGCCAGACTGTACAGCTCCACCAGACACTGAGCTGCTCTAGGCTAACCGTTCATGCGGGCACATCCCAGAGCAAGTGCTTGTTCCTGTTTAGCTCAGCGGCAGCTAAGCAATTCCTAAGTATGTGTGCCAAGTGCAGAGCCGCTTCAAGGCACACATAAGCTGTTGGTATTTCTTTTAATTCTGGCGCTACTGAAGACGGTTTATCAATAAAGTGTTGGGCACTATGGCTGGTTTAAAATATTCTAGTTCCCCTTCACCAACCAGGGTTTATTCCCTACTCTGTGTATTGCTACTTCAGTTGTGCTGGCACAAATTTGCTAAGAGCCACATCATATGGCCCGTCAGGGAACTGATCTGGTTTAACAAGAAACCCGCAACAAGAAGCAAAGGCAAATAGGTGACGCATGAGGTGACTTGGACGTGGCTGCATCACTGCAACTGAAGCAAGAGTGTGGTTACGTTGAGGGGAAGTAACTTAGGCAAGAGTTGTTGCCAAAACATGTCATTAAACTGGCGCAGCCTCTCTTGGCCCACGCTTTCCTTACCATACTACAGAGGAGCTTGGGCACGTTTGTATAGCTGAAGGCTCTCCTGACCCAAACGACGCGCGCGTGTTTAGGAGCCGGCTGTAAGCCCAGCGCAGGCCTGCCGCCCAAGGGGGCTGCTGCCAGTGTGCAACACACCCCGCCAACGCGACACCTGCACGCACCAGCAAAACTTCATTATGGTGGGGTGACCCCTCAGGCACCCTCCAGTCTAAGTTCCTGATGAAACCATTTTCTTTCTAGCCAGGGTCTGCTTGTTCTGTCACAACCCCCACGAGATGTGATTTGCAGTCTTAATGTCTCTCTACTCTCCTCACACCCCCCTTTTTTTAAAAAAGAAAAGTTTGCCAAGACCCATGTATACATTAAAATGTCAGACACATCAAGTGCTTTACTGTCACCAAACACCATCTTACCTACTGTATTATTTGCTGCATTTAAGTCACTGCTCATCATTAGCAAAATCTGGTTTATGTGATAAGCTGCAAAATGCTAAGTTTGTTACTTTTGGATCCCATATGTGGGTAAACCGGGAACAGTTCAAATGTGCTTTAACAATTTAGTCCTGAAGTGCCGTGATTTATGTTTTCAGAACGCTCTGTCAAACAGAATCACGAGGGCTGTGTTTGTGTATGACAAGATACTGCAAATACCCACCTATCCTCTTCATAACTCCTTGGGAGGCTAATGAAGCTTACCCCGTGGATGTGAATTTAGAAGCTGGGGATACACAGTTGAAGGGATACCGAGGACTTTCATTTAACCCCATCAAATACGCTTGCAAAGAGGTAGAGTCTCACATCCGTCTTGCGGGTAGAAAAACTATAGCATGTGCATTAGAAGTAATTTCTGCCCCGTCTGCTACAAACCAGGGTCCATGCAGAACAGCATCAGAACTGCCTCCTGGGGGGTCCCGGGGAGGGTCCCAGGCTCCCGCAGCCCCCTGCCCACGGAGGCAGGATGGACAGACGGACACAGACACACACAAACGTGGGGGGGCAGCGAGCCTTCAGTGTCATCAGCTCTTCCCTCACCAAGGGTGCCTGGGAAGGCGGCGTTGGTGAGGTAAGGAGAAGCTGTCAGGTTAAGCAGCATGTTGGAGCAGCTGCACCAACGCAACTGATTTAACAGCTTGCCTGCAGTTTGTCAAGAATAAATCCTTGAGCTTTAACACCCTCTCTCAATCCAAAACTTCCAAGCATACACAAAACAGCTTCTGAGGAGGTCATAAGATTGCAAAGCTGACTGAAATATCAGATAAAACTGCTCATGTCAGAAACATGAAATACTACATGCATGAACTGCTTTCCTACTGTTTGAAGCCCATTTCCTACCAGTATCACAATTCAAAACTTTATTTTATGAGCCAAACTTTAAACAGATGAATGGTATGATATCAGAACAGGAAAGACATAATTTTTAATTTTTCAAGCATCTCTACAAGAAAATCTGATAAGCAGATCATAAACATAATATCCTCCAGCATATGGTGGTAGAAACTGAAATCTGAGGCACTGAACTAAACACTTTTTAAAAGCCTCTCAAACCAGAGAAATGGCAGCTGCACCCGCAGTCGGGCGAGCGAGCTGCCCTTCCAGCAAGGGGCCCTCACCACCTCGCAGGGTAACTGCCAGCACCAAGATTACAGATGCTGCTCTAAAATAATTTAAGACCTTGGATAGGATTCCATTGTTTTTACCTTCAGGAAAGAATTAAAAACCACATCCTGAATTTCCCATTCAGCTTTCAGTTGATCACTCTGTATCTTACCAACCTTCAGCAGTCAGCAAGCGTACTTCTTTTTAATTCCATAAGGAGGTGATTCTTTCTTTTCCCTCACTCAGACGCTTTCCAGAGCAAAATAAGTAAATACCCTTATTTAACAACTTCTAAAAGAAACACTTACATGCATCACTAACTAATATCATACTGATAACCTGACATCCCACAGAAACTCACAGAATAGCGTATTTATTAACACTGACCTCATATATATAAAAATGTTCTTTTTATTTAAAGAAACTTCAACTTTTAAGCCTGGATCATAAATTCAGTGTCTCTCATTTGACAGATGTAACTATGCTAACTGGAATACACATTAAAGGAGATTCAATATAAAGCTAAGAAAGGATGGCTGTTTTCCTTAAAATAGGTGATAACAGTGTCATACAACCATTTTCCAGAAAGCATTCAGGTTACTTCTTTCCATATACAGGGAGTTTGTTTTACCTGTTGCATTAAGACTTGTTATAACCACTTGTAAAACTTATCAAAAGATAGTAGTTTCACTCCTTTAATATCGACCATATTGAATGCATAATTAACTTGCCATATCTAGCAACTTACTCTGTTACGTTAATCAAACTTCATTAAGAATAGAAAAAAAAGCTATCCAGGGATGCTGAACAATTTTATGTGGCAGTACACAATGACAACAGAATAAGAACATTTTAAAAGCATATGTATACAAAATAATTTATTTTTAAATCACTTTTTTTTCCCTTTAGATGGCTTTGCAAATAAGGCAGGATCAATCTGGTCTCTAGACAGACCTCTCACTGAAAAAAGCCTTGCTGCTCTTTCCTTCAAAGTGCCTCCACACTTCAGTCCTAAAGACATCAATTCCATCTTCAGTTTATCTAAACCCAGGGCTTCCATTTCAGCAGCAGAGTTGAATGCCAGTAGGTCTATTGGTTCCACCTCCTGCAAAGAAAAAAACATCCCATCAGACTATTATTATTTTCTTCCTGATTGCAGCGGGGAGGAACAAGTACAGACAGAATGCTTCATTTTACGGAAGACCTTCAATTACGATTATCTCAAACTTCTAATTACTTAATAAAGTTGAGCAATGTCTCAAAATGTATTATGCTGGATATTCTCATTATTAGTGGTACTTATGCTACCCAGGTAAAGTATTACTGCATCATGTACAAGCAAATTGAAGCTAGCTAGCAGCTTAATTGTCAAACATGCAAATCTTAGCAGAGATAACACACCCAAGAGCAGGGTGAATGCTCAGGTGAGCTTTGTACCCAGTGTCCAACTGTGCTGCTACAATTCTATTCCTTGCAGTGCCTCTGCTAGCTAGTTAAAGGCTCGCTCTAACACGCCCAGACAAGCTGCAGATGTGCTTAGGCTTGCAGCATACACAGCCCCCAAGGCAGAAGCACTGGTCATTTTAAATGACAGAAACACTGCTGAACTTTTAAAATTTTTCCACTAGAATTAACACAGTTTACTTGCAATATGGGAATGATGAAAAAATAAAATAAGAGGCAGTATTTAATCCTATTCTTCTGGAGACAAAATAGGCAACACTGTTTTTATCCCCAGAGAAATTAAGTAATCCCGAGAAAATGGAATTAAAAACAACAGCCCACCACCTCACCCAGCAGTTCAGTAGCTTAACCTTGGCTTCCAGAGGCATGGCAAAGCTAACGGCCCCTTTTTAGCCCAATGCAGAACACAGCCAGTAAACCCCCAACAGTAGCAAGAAGGAGGATGAATAGTTCCTTCTAATGCAGTCACACTGTAATTATAGAAATAGATATAAAAATACCCTCTTTTTAGTAAGATTAACCAAAAAAGCAAGTTCTGAAGTTCACATCTCATCCTGCCACAAGAAAATGGATTAAAATTTCACCTTAAAATGAAATTAGTGTATTTTCAGAATAATCAAGAGTGAAAGGGACTGTCTAGTCCAAGCCCAGGGCCTTGTCCACAAAAGAACATGGACAAAGACTGGATAATTCAAATGCTGGAATTTACTAACACGCTAAACACTAACACACTGAAAAAGACACAAAAACCTAAGCCCATTTTGTTCACTACTTAAAAGTGCACGTTAGTCTTATCGTATGTGTCACGATGGAGTTATCAGAGACTTCCTACCAGCAGTGGGAAGGAGACCACTCTGTTAGGAACTTGGCAAAAACAATTAATGCTAGCAGAATTAGAACCTTTGTCCTGCTAAGCATACAAAAAGAGACTGGTTGCCTCATTATTTTCATCCTACTTTTTAAAAAAAAATCCATCAAGGACTATTATAAAAATATTTCCACCTGCAATAACAATCTGCCACAGCATTGGTGGAGTTTCCTGTTCTAGGAATAGACAGTCTCACAAATACTGAGCAAAAGGTAAACAGTGAAGAATGGTAAACATCCTGTTTTAAAATTCGCCAGCTCTAACAGTACGGTAGATGACAAACTTCTAATTTATCACATTTTGGTTTATTGGTTAGAATAAGCCCAGATTCATTGCCCCTAAACCTTTTTAATAGTAATTTTATGCAAGGAGCAATGAAGCACAAGTATTGGCACCTTTTACTGCAAAATATGAATTGGGAGTTTCATCAGTTCAGTGGGAAAAGCTACATTCTCTCTTGGCTGGAAGACTGATCCAAAGCCTCTTCAGCAGAAGAATCTCAGCCTTCCTCCTGTCAGTCACCAGAGAATGAACCTCATGGTCAGCGCTGCTCCTGATCTGGCTGAGGGCTGTGACACCAACCCAGACTGCCAGCAGAGATGTTGGTATGGCAACACTACAGACCTGCTTCCACCACAGATATACCGGATGATCATTTTAAAAACCACTCTTCCACCATCCTTCGCAGTTCAGATGAAGCCCATCATTTATGCTAATCCCATCTCTCTAGTGAAGGGATTAGTGAAGGAGCTCCTGCTTTCAGACTTACAATGGTTAATGAAGAACTGAAGTTTGCACCACACTACTAGGGTTCTCTAAGAACTAGATGCAAGTCTTTTTGTAATAAAAACTAAGTAAGACTGATCAGCTGATTGGTTTAGGGGACATCTACCTGGAACAACTTCTAATTAAACACTGAGGTAAATTATAAACATTAAGATCAAATTATGTTAGAAGTAAGATTAGTCAAATTGGACAGTGTTTGGTAATGTGTAAGAAAATATTGTTAAGAGCCTTTCATCCTACAGAAGGGCTTAATTTTCCTTTTTTTTTTCCCCTCCTCTGAAGAATTTTGAATCCAGACTGTATCTATTTATATAGAAGGAGCAAAAACCAATCAACCAAACAAAAAAACCTCAAGAGAAACATGGATCTCAGGAAAGACAATACTAGACAGCCAAGAGCAACTGCATTTTAGTAGAAACTCTATTAAAATCTTATCAAGTTCTTCCTTGACCTATTCTATTTAGCATCTCTCAAGACAACGCCACCATACTACAATTCAACTTTCTCCACAGACAGAGCCTTCTTTGGCTGCAGTTTCCATTAACTTGCTACATTGCATTTTCATAAGTTGTACGATGCATCTTCAGTTAAGCTGGTTTTCCTTCTAACCTTGGGAATTTTTGTGCTCTAAATCAAACTCTGAAGATTCTATTAGTTTCTCAGGGAGGCTATGATTCTAATTGAAGTACTTACATCTTTTGTATTGAAGTCATAGGATACAAATCCCCTCCCCTTTTCTGTGATCCACAAAGGGAAAAGTGACTGGGTAAAAGCAGCTGAAGAGACATACCACTTTTTGTACTCCTTCATACTTACTGTGCTCTGTAACTGGTTCGTTTCCTGTGCCTTACAAGAAACACTTTCTTGCTCTTCTTCTTTCAGAGCTTGAGATACTTCATTCTTTTCCTGGGCCTCATCCATCAGGGGCTTTGTCATTTTATTGTCTTCTTCAGCTGGAATTTCAGTTTGCCCACCTGTGTGTGTCTCCCCTTGCAGATCTCTTCCAGTATCTTCTGGCTGCTCCAGTGGTTTCTCAGTCACACTGGTAGCTGGACTGTCCTCTACTGAATCCAGCGAGCTGCTTGAACATTCATTTGAGTTTCCAGCATTTTCATTGTATCTGCTGCCTGACGGACAGCTTCCATCAGATGTATGAGGGGCATCATCTTCACTGTCATCCTCACAATCTGAGCTGTCAGGATCATCCAATCCTTCCAATCCCAGCCTGGCATAAGCAGAAATGAATATTGATCTATTTTCCCTTTTTTTTAAAAATAATTATTTTTATTGACACACTTTCTTTCCAAAACTCGCTTCAGAGAGCTGCAGTGAACTACTCTAGCAGCTATTTAGGATAGTTTAGTAAATGGAAGAGCTGCTTATACTGAACAGGACCCAACATTCCCTGAAAACAGGCTATCTTTTTACAGCATGCCCAATAGAGAGATGTGTGCTACTTATTGCTACTCCAACCATCACTGGAATCATTAAGGCTTCTCTTTCATGTTACATAGGTGAAAAACGTGAGGATATTTTATTTCAAGGTAATTGTAAATTTATTTCATTAATGAGAAAAAGGACAATGAGAGATAGTAGAATATAACCGTATTAGAAGGGGAAAAAAAAAAAAAAAAAAGGGTGCCTATTTTTGCAAATAAAGTTTGTTTGCTCCAGCTGGGACAGAATTATATGAACACAGCAACATTTACATTCAGTTCTCTGATTTAATCGGTTCAATTTAATTTCACTATTTAAGTTTACATCTCAGATAAGATGTTGCTTACTTGTATGAACCTAACCTGCCATTCTGTTCAAGGCTTAATACTCGAGTATTAAGTACAAAGAGAGTCATAATGCTTACCAAAAACACCTTCTTTTTCGAGATTTTGTTCCATTCTTTCCAGATTCACCTGGACGCTTCCGACCATCACCACTTTCTGGTGACACTATTTTGCTTGAAGTGGCCTGCAATCCTTCAAAACAAAGTTAAAAGTCTACACCATCAGTACACAATTCATGTGTGTTGTAAACTCTACTTCTCTTTTAATTTCAGATGCAATTTAAAACACCAACTGAAAATAATCATTATTCGTGCACATTTACATAGACTCAAAACTTCAAAATAAACTCAGCAGCAGCAAAAGCTTGCCCATGCTGCTTTACTATGGCACAAAGTTAAAACTGGACTCCTGAATTGAACTCTCAGGTTCTACATCCCATTCAGCCTCAAGTTTCATTATCATGCTGCCAGGCAGGGAACAATCTGTGGGTAAATAAAATAACTAGAAATAGCAGTAAGCGAAACAAGGTATTTTGTAGTTGGATTCAATTTGTAGTTTTTACAAAAGACCTGTTTATATTTGATCATTTCACTGAAAAAGATTATGAAATTCTCACCTAAACTAGCAACACTATCTTCAAGGAATTTTGCTCTTATGGCACAGTAGCATGACAAGATGAAGCATCTGTGTGAAGTATCTGTGTTAAGCTGTTCAATGCAATATGAGAGAAGCAGTAGCCAAAAAGGAAAAATTAATTCCAATAAATTTTTACTGGAATATAAAATTTCATTCAATTTAAAGTTATTGACAGCAATTTTTTTTTTTTTTTCCATACTGGAGTGAGGCTATACGGGTTTTTAGTTTGCTTTATTTTGGGGTGAGAAAAAGTGAGGCTAAATTGCAACACCTTTAAGGACTGAATCTTCCAGTCGCTCAGCCATTTCATGACACTGCTGCTGGTAGTCTGGATTTGTGAAAAAGTGCTTTGGCTCTGCAAGTTTCCGCTGCAGCCTTTCCAAGCGCCTTTGCTCTTTTTCTGCTTCCCGTTCTGCTTGCTGCTTCACCCATTCAGCCATCCTGCAGACAGAAGCATGAAAATGAGAGCGTTTCCAACATTTAATGTAATATCAGTTTGCTGTTTTGCAATTACTGAATATTTCTACCACCTGTTAGGTTGGGAGACAATGGAGAAAGATGACTAACAGCACCCAGGGGAATTACTGAAGGAATATAAAGATACACTGCCACAGAGAAGAGTGTAAAGTTTATTTTCAAAGCCAGAAACAGCTTTAAGGTCACATATCCCCAGTATCACAGTCTTGCAGCTTGAGAGAGAAGGACTATGAGAATTCCAGATGAGAAATCCAAGAGGTGCAATAATACAGTTATAGACAGAATAATCCTGTTGGCTTCCAGTCCATCTGTGCTTAAGATTTCACTTTTGCTCTTTTCAGTATTAAAAATAAAATTGCATTGCTACAACAGCCTGTCATTTGATCTCTTTTGTTAATAGTGAACTACATGGTCAGCTTATTTCATAATTCTAGCTTCTAAAAAAATGCCTTACGCTTTTTCGTGATTGACATCTCGAAGTCTCCTTCCACTGAGATCTCGGCAAGCCTCTCTATTTGTTGTCTTTTCAATCTGAGCACCAAGTGCTCGCAGCATAGATCCAAACCCTGAGAAAAAAGTAATCAAGAATTAGCTAAACAAATGGAGATGAGCTAATGCACAACAAAATAATTGTGGAAAAAGAATACAGCAAATTCAACACTTTCCTCTCCCTCAGTGCAAATGAAATAAAGGGTAAGTTGAAAGTTGCAACATGTTGAAGAATTGTCATTGGGTGAAATGCCGTAACACTAGATGAAAAAAAAGTATCCAGTGTTCTTCACTCATCTTGGCTTTTTGCTCCTGATATCAGACCATACGAACTCCTGATTTACTAGAGTCTGTGCAGCACTTCAAACATGAAAGCCTATTTCTGGACTCCCTCAAACTGGTTTGAAAACTTTTCCATCTCAAGATAACATTTTGGGTCCTTTCTAATTTAGCCAGAATATACCTCCCTCTTAAACCCCCACCAAACTTAAATCCCCCTTTAAAAAAAAAATCTAACAAAAAATAAAATAACTTTTTTATTTGATAGCCTCAGCCACTTCATCAACATGATCATGATGTACAAAGTTACGCTGGAGAGCTCCCCCAAATAGATTTCTATACACTTCTCAGCCACTAATTACTCGTAGGTAAGGCTGCTGATTTCTCTCAATCAATCCCTCTTTGTCTCCAGTACCAGAAAGACACTTGTTTAACTACCTCAAAGAGACACAATGTGGATTAAAAGTAACATAATCCTTCAAGCAATCTGAAAGCGACAAGCACTGTTTTTTAACTAGAAGCTGAACAAATTTAGACTTTCCAGTGCCCCAAAAGTACCTTTAAGGAGTTTTACAAACAGTAACCAATCCAGACAGCCTACCATATCACAAGGCAGAAAAATATTGTGTTCAGATAGTAAAACCAACTGTTGCCATTAGCGAGGAGAAATTCTGCAGCTCATGAAACACACTATTTTATTTTACGTTTCAAAGAACGCAGACCTAGCTACTACACCTAGCCAGGTACGTTCCCAAACATTAATGGCAATGTACCCACTAAGGCCGCAGGTGCTGAATGAAGTCTTGTAATAAAATGCTCGGTTCACTTCTAAGCCTGCATAATCTGTATTACAAAAGGAACACTGTAGAAAATTGTTAAAGAACAATTGTTAAAGACCCCAATGGCACAGCAGTAACAGGAAGTGAATCACAGAATGCATGTCCTGTGTCATCTCGGGATAACTGAAGCTGATGGGCAACAGGTGAGGAAGAAGCATCCTGAACAATGAACTTCTACCATATGCACCACTTTTAGGGCACGTAAAGAAACCACAATACCTCATAAACTATATCAACAATATTTATTTCCAGTTGTGTTCAAAACTATGAAGGCAAAGTAAGCTGAGCTGCAGCCTGATGAAAGGCTGCACAATTATTCAGCATTTAAAATCAATAGCTGGAAAATTCTGAGAACTGGATTCAAAAAGCAAATTCCAATTACACTCAAATACTCTGCTAAACCTGCTTCACCTCATGTTCCATTTTAGGGAATGCCCCCACTGTCAGTGGCTACATCATTTCGTACAATTACTAAATATCTTCTGTAACACAGTTAAATATCTGGTCAATAGAAGGACTCTGGTTTAGACTGAGTTCTTTAGTTCTTAGGCTACTGGGATCCTGACATTTAAATATTTTTTCACATAAAAGAAGAAAAAAACATACATAAATCACAGACTATTTGTACCTGGCATATTTGTCCTATGTGACCACAAATGAAACTCAGGAGCCTAAGAAGCCAGCTGCTTTTTAAACACAACTTCGACTCTGAAGTCAGCCTGATACATATTACAGATTTCTACTGATAGAGCTAAGCTGACCAGGGATGCGAAGAAGAGCTATGCCAACAAAGCTGTCAGCTGAACTGCTGTTTCCATGTCATTTCTCAGCTTTGCAGGTAGATTCCAGTTTCAGCTCAAAGACGCTGTATCACAGCCATTCACGTTACAAGAGATCTGCTAACGTATTAGGACAGTTGCTATTTGTACAGACTACAGCACAACAGAAGTTTTTTAACCTAAGAATCTAATCAGTAATAAGCAGTTACACAACAAACCTCCTTTTCCACCACAAAGTCTTGGTTCCAGACTATAAACGGCTCCATTCTGCAATACATCTTCATCATTAACCAGCCGCCCGTTACATTTCACATACAAGCTTTCTTCAGGAATGTTCTAAAAGACAGCAAAAGTTAGTCATGTTATTGACAGAAAATTAAACACCCTGACAAAGAAAGTCATTAAGGAGCAATGTTTGTTTCTTTCCTATGGGAAGAGAGGGGAAGCAAAAATTAGATGATCTTAGAAGCATAAACATTCTCTGTGGTGCTTGTTTTAATTCTTGTTTACAAAAGAATTAAGCACAGTCTAAATCAGCTTGTAAACACGAATGGGGGAAAGCCATGCTATGGGAAAATTTGCATTAAGTGTCCAAACATTCTATATTATATATATAATTACGTTAAAAAACACCAAACCCCATATTTTCTGGGCCGTAAAGAATTTGAGATCTTTCATATGTCCACCACACGTATTTAAAGAAGTACAGAACTCTCTTACAGCAAACCCTCCTGCTGGGCTATGTAACAGCAGACAGAAGAAGCGTGCCCACCGTGGCGGCGTACGACAGCACGCCAGCGGCCCCCAACAGCCAGGCCTCCCGGCGAGTGGGGAAGGTGCGAGGGCGGACACGCGGCCCACTAGCTACCGGCACCGGCCGCCCGGCCCCCTCACCCCCACACAAGGCCTGAGGGGAGGCCGCACCGCCCCCCCCCAACCCCTGCCGCCCGTTCCCCGTCCCCTCCCCAGCCGCGACTCACCAGCGCCCGAGCGCGGTCGCGGAGGAGGCCGCGCACCGAGGCGGAGCCGCCGGGGGGCAGCGGCCACGGCCGCGCCCGCGGAGCCAACGGATCCCTCACCAGCAGCGCCATCGCTTACCCCCTCCCCCCTCCACCGCCACCGCCCAACAGTCGCCGCGCCTGCGCGCCTGTGACGACAGAGGCGCGCGGGCAGGCGGCGGAGGGCGGAGGGCGGGGTGAGGGCTGGCGCGAGCTGATACGGGGAGGCTGCCGAGCGGGCGCGCGGCTGAGGCGGCGGATCTGCCCCCCCCACCCAACAGTCCTGAGGGGGGGGGGCCTCCCCCTCTTCCTGCGCGGCTTGACTGGGCTGCTGATTGCTGTTAACTGTTCTTCCTTCATTGGAGTTTTAAAAGGTTTCCTAGTTGGTGGGGGGTTTGGGTGGTTTTGTTAAGTGCTGGAGGCTCAAGCTGGGCTTAAGGAAGGCTGTATTTCTGATGTTTTGGAGTCAGTCCGACGTTTCAGTGCTTTTGCAGACCCAGTTTACAATTTCTTAGACGCTGTATGCTTAAATGAGAGCCCAGGTATATTTAGCAGTCTTCGGGAAAGAAAACATCGGAGTGTGGCACCCTTGCCTAGGAGGGGGTAGATCTGATCACACCGTGCAATCTTGCACACAGTGTCCTAATATCTTATTTTAGGAAATGGCCCTGAGAGCACCGTTTGTCTGGAGCGTGCTGCTCAGAGAAATGTCCCTGCCTCCCAGAGTAAGTGATACCAGAAGCCATCCCAGGGAGCAGCTCCTGTCCTTCACCTTTTTCTACACGAGACAGCCCTCTCCTAATTCAGACCACTATGTGCAGCCTACTGGGTTGTTAAAGGCTTTTTACAACCTGTCACACTGACTCCGTGAGCATGTAGCAGCAGGCAAAATGGACCGTGGCTCCAAACACGCTCGTCTGCTCTGCTGTTTTAGTAGCAGTGGCAGCGGCAGCAGTAGGATGGAAATACTCACACCACCTCAGGCAGCTGGGAAGGGGCAGTACTGCCCTTGCACAGCACTGCAGTGGTAAGAAGTGTAATGGAAATGCGCTGCCATTAATTGTCCAATCAAATATGGTGCGAATTTCATGTAAGGGCTTGCAGGATGATGGGTTCTGTCACTATTGCTTCTTTGTGTTGCTACGTGCATTTTAGCATATCCACGAACTGGGATGTTTGGGCTAGATTTGGTTACATAGTCACATAAAATGTTTTTAAATCGAGGTGAAAGTTGAGCCAGAGCAGGAGGCCACAATCAGCTCTTCATGACATGGGGTAATTACCCATCAGCAGGAGACTGAAGAATTGATGCTAAGAAAATGCACACCTCCACCTGTCCAGGAAAGAACACATACAGAGGTGTGATGATGATCCAGATGGTGTAACTACTGAATTCTTTGGTGGCATCAGATCTCCATGTCTTCAACATAACCATCCAGATAGAGGATATTTGAGGGTAGATCACTACCAGCTGGTGGGAACCGTTGCAAACACTGACAAAGACGTGGTTGGGCTTCCCGGAGATCTGCAGTGCAATACACCTCTCACCTTATTTACAAATAAGGATGTTACCTGCAGTACCTTTTTGTTTGGGAGCAACATGGGCAAGGACTGCTGCTCACCGCGTAATCTGCCCGCTTCAGCTCTGCCCCTGCCCGAGGGGGGCTCCCTTGCCAGGGTGGCACCTGGCACCCTGAAACCCCCTGTTAGCAGGTGAGATAGACCTCTGAGGCAGAGCCTGTTGCTAAATTCAGGTCTTGAGCATCGATGCAGCTTTAAAAAGATGGGGCTTGTGTCTGAGCTGCTTGGCTGCTACAGAAAGTTTGGTGTTGTGGCTGTCCCACCCTTTTTGCTTGTGGAAAAGCTGTGCTGCTTGGCTGGGCCTGTGTGAGCAGGGTTAAGTAGCTCTCGTGCCTGACTGGCTTAAGTGGTTGTGGTAGAAAAGGCATAAGCTGGGAAACAAAGAGGCAGAAAGGTGATGTAACACAGAAGTGAGGACTTCACACTCAAATGTAAACAAATCAGTAATAATTGAATTAAGGGGGTCCCCTCATGAACTTGTCTCGGCCAACTCACAAATCGAACTTTGCTCACCCTTTCTTACACTATATTAATTTTAGCTAAAATGATTTTGCAAAGCGTTTTGACCCAGTCTAGACAATCCATTACTGTCTTTCTGTAACAAGTTGATATTTCCAAATTAAGTGTCATGTTGCCATAGTGCGACCATTCAAACCTCATGTCTGTGTAGCCTGGAAAAGCTGTGTTTATTTTGTGCTGGATTTGGCCCAGATTTGGTCAACGTTATATTTTAAGTCACGTGGTACTTCTTGTTTCATTTATAATCTCGTGCCATATCTTTGGAATGCCACCTAATATTAAATACCACTAGATTTGGGGTATTTTTATTCATGTGCTGTATCTGATTCAAATGTAACTGGCAATATATGAGGTATGCATGTATACATATGCAGATGAATAAGTATTTTCTTAGATCTGTGGGATTTCAGTTGCATTCCGAGGGCATGATTCATTTCCTCCTCTGAAACTCCTGCTACTGGCGCTGAGGGTGTGGAGCTTGCCAGTACAGGCCAAATAGGCGGAGTTGTCCAGGAAAGAGTTGGGCCACAGGACTGTCCAGTGGATGTACTGAATCACTGTAACTCACAGGTCGTTTGATCCATGTATTTTCTGAATGTTTTGAACTACTCTTAATCTGTGCAGATGAATTCCTGGCCCTAGTGAACACTGACTGAATTATAATTTCCCAGTGAGGAGTACCTCAGCTAACACAGCTGCCATCATAGGGGAAAGAGGACCAAAAAAGAGGGCCCATTGCACCCCAAGAGGAGGTGTGTGTCAGTGACAGCTGTCATTCGTAACCGATACCTGGATTCTGCCTGCAGGTACATGCTATAGCTGTGATACACCTGTGAGCGTGCAAGCTGAGAGCAGTAGAGTCATACTGGTATAAATTAGGCCCTTTGCAGAGCATACGTTGCTGCCTTATAGGTAGTTTTGGGCTATTAATGCCCTAGTCGGTTCTGGGAGGCCATACCTAGGTGACTTGCACAGATCCTGGTGCAAGCAAGTGACATCTAATAGTCAGAGGAGTAGTTTTCTTTCACCTTGGTCCTACAACAGTGCTAGGTATATAGTCCCCATTCTCATGATTTATGCAGTGCCGTTTAGCTAGTGCCACATTAATGTCAGCAGGCGAGTGTTCCTGTATCTCTCGTTCTTGATTACACTTCTCTTCCTAGAACTCATCAAGAGTCTATTGCCCTGCTCCTCACAAAAGAAGTCTAAATAAGTCAAAAAGGCTATTGTTATAATTTCCCATTTGAAATGTATTTTATTAGAAATGTTATTCTCTTGATAAAACAATGGTCCATTTCTGATTCTGTAGTGGTGTTTTAGACTTAATTAATAAATCATGCTTGCCACTTTTCATTTAGAAAGGATTTTACAGACATAATTAATTAAACCTGACAGTATCCTTGTGGGATAAGTAGGTACTCTGACTTTTTAAATAGTGACACTCAGGCAAACTGGTTATACTACTTTCTCAAGTTAGTGGAAGGACCAAAGCTAGAATTTAAAACTTCCTGCTATCTTGACATAATTTAAGAGATGAGACTACCCATCCTTTTCTTATTTCATTCTGATATCCATGAGTGTGATGCCTGAGTTATTTGGTGTGGTTCTGTGGCCTGTAATATGCCGTGTGCTAGACTTGACTATTTTCTCCTTAAAATCTATTACCTGATTTAACGTGGAACAGAGTTTTTACTATATCTCTATCTAGAACTATCAGATGTGTAACTGTCATAATGCTGCTATTCATTCACTCACCCTTATTGTTTCCTCCATTATATTCCATTTTAATAGTAGTAGCAGTGCTTTATAGTGCTTAATAACGGTCTGTCAAGACCAAGATCACATTATGCAAGACTGTACTGAGAGAAGGTATGAGGTACTCATTGGCCCTTGACTTCTAATCTGCACATGAAAGATTCCTGTGGGAGTGAAAAACACAAAACCAGTTGTTCACAAAGTACCCAGATTAACAAAGGATGGGTCAAAAGTTGCTCTGATAAGAATTCAGTGTTTCTCACTTCTAAAAGTGTTCCTAGACATAGGCAAGAGAAATGATGAAAGATACCACATAAAATATGAAACAGATGTGTATGTTCCTTTTAGAATATTCTAAGTGTGCAGAGATGTTAACAAAGGTAAATTTTGTCCACAGAAGTTACTTCAAGAATTTGAAAATGTGAATTTGAAGGGTGGGTTTTCCACCTGCTAGACAGTCGGTCATGTACTATGGTATATATGGAAACTGGCTCATCAGAATATATTTTTTTACATTTTAATGGTATCCCAAAGTGTAAGTTGCAGATAATATATTTGCAAGGCTTAAATGTGTTACACAGTTTCATATTATTTTTGCATGGAAGATCAGGACAGAACGAAAAGAAACCTTTGTGTGCATGTTCTTAGGACAGTAATTAAGATGCTGGATGACATGAGGGAGCATTTTTTACTTCAGATACTATGACATCATACAGTTTTGACAAAAATGTAATTAACCATAATGAATCTAAGTTGATATTTGCAAGTGCAGCTTCCTGCCAAATGTCAGTAGTCATCTGCTTCAGTTTCTGTGTCGTCAGCGCAATGGGTAGAGACTGTGTTAAGATACCTGATACTGGGTTGGGAGCAGGTGGGGGAGAAATACAAATGTTAAGTTACTTATATTACCCTTGTATGAATACAATAGCTACTGTTAAATATACTTACTGTCTCACAGTGAATGCCCTAGATATCAATCTCCTAACAAGTCTGTAGTGAATAACTGTATTTTGTTCTTCTTATAGACCACATTCGGCAATAATGCAGATACTTAGGCATAATCAGGATTTTAAAATAGCTGTAAAACTGGTTTTTCCCTCACATTGGTCCCTTTGTTGTGCTTAATGTCTTTGTCTCCATCCTATGCAAGGATGTTTAAACTGTGAGACCTTTAGGGAAGGAACATGTACTGCTCTGCACATATGTATGTACTGAACCTGAGAAACTAAGCTCCCTTTTTGTTTGGCCATAAATATCATCAGCACAGTTGGCCTTGTTACTG